GCACCAGCGGATACGGATTTCTGCATTCATGGAGTCCAGCTGAGAGGAGTAACATTCCGAAAGCTTTTTTATCACCTCTGAAGAGAGCACATACACAGAGAAAGAACTATGACCTATTTTGTTGAGTTTGAGGGTCATCAGAGAATAACGAATCATTAAATCATAGAGTCATAGAATGGTTTGGGTTAGAAAGGCCCGTAGGATCACCCAGTTACAACCCCCTGCCATGGGTAGTGTCCTCAGCGCCCGTCCTTGCTGGGTTCTATGGGTTGAAGGTCCATGTGGGGAAGCAGAGGATGAGCAGCATTGGAAGGGGTTTTGTGTGTGTGTGCAGGGAAGTGATGTCCTCTATCTATGCACATGGGTCTCCCCAGGCTTCCCTGTGGCAGTTGCAGCATTTCCCTGAGCAATTCCCCAGGGTGGAGGTTGGAGCCAGCATCATCCGCTGCCTCCTATCTTGTCTACCTGGGCCACCAGCTTGGGCTGGAGAGCCATGAGGATGGACCCAGGCTCTGGGAGACCAGTGCTGGGCATGGGGGCTGTTCTTGTACAGCAGAGGCCTTTAGAAGGGTGTCCACACTGGTCTGTCATGAGGCTCATGCTCTCGGGTAGCTCTGTAAGCCCTGGTCCTCCCAGCCCCTGTGAGCTGGGTACCAAGAGGTGTTTTGCAGCAGGAAGCTGAGGCATGAGGCAGTGCCCTGCCTGGGTGACCCAGAACATCTGATGGACAAGGAGCATTTCTGCCTCTGGGTTTGTCCTCACCTCTATATCTGCTGAGGGGCAGAGATGTCTGAGAGAAGGTAGACCCAGGCTGGAGACTGACCCAGGGTCCTGCTCCCTCCCAGCCGAGCACGTGCCTCTACTCAGTGATGAGCAGAGCGAAAGCAGACCCCAAGTTCGGGGAGATCTTCCGCTTTGACACCCCGGTGCTGATGTGGGACCAGCACTTCACCCCGGAGACCTGGGACAGGCTGAAGACACGACATGTCCCCTATGGCTGGCAGGGCTTGTCCCACACAGGTACGGACCCAGCCAGGATGGGGTGGCAGCAGATGGGGTTAAGGGTGATGGGAGGGTGTTGGGTGGTTAAAGGGGCACAGGGAGCCCAGCAGAAGGGAGAGGAGCCCTGTAGATGAGCGAGGGACCTTGATCTGTTCCCACTCCTCCTCCCAGGGTGCAGGACATGGCTTTGCAAATGCCACTGGCTGCATCTTGTGACATTTCCCTGAATAAAAGCTCCAGTGTGTGCACAATTATTAACTGGGGCCGAAGGAGCTCGGAAAACTCGCCCTATTGTAGTGGAGGGACATTATTTCCCTTCCTACCCAAAACCCACTGCCTGCTCTCCCTGGCAGCTGCTGGCTTCAATCCCTGCACTGGGAAGTGCTGGGGACAATGAGGGGGAGTGAACTGGGGGCAGTTGCAAGGAAACATTGTCAGGAAGGGACGTGGCCAGTGGAGGCAACAGCATCTGCAGGGCTGGAGAAGTCCGGATGCATCCCTGTGCCTTGCACGGCTGCTGTTTGGAGCAGGCTTTGAGTGTGAGGAGGTGACACAAAGCCTGGTGTCCCCCATCCCACCTATAGACCACTCTCCTCACCCACAGTGTGTGGTTTCTTGTGTGCTATCCCTGGATGTGCCCTTGCACCAGCTCATCTGTGCGTGTGTCTCACACTGAAGCGTGCGGGTGCTCATGGGGGCTGATCCACACCTTTTCCCACTGACTGGCCCCATCCTGCTCTGTTCTAGTGGTGGGCAGCACCCTGCGGCTCCTCAATACCTCGGCCAACAGGCGCCTCTTTGACAGGGACAGGGTGCCTGGGGGCTGCGTGCGCTGTGCCGTGGTGGGCAACGGTGGCATCCTCAACGGCTCACGGCAGGGCACGGCCATTGATGCGCACGACCTGGTCTTCAGGTGAGGATGGGGCTGGGCAGGATGGGGCTGTGGTGCTGGGGAGAGGCCAGCCCTGGGCATGCATCTCGTGCTCTTCCCACAGGCTCAACGGTGCCATCATCAAAGGCTTCGAGGAGGATGTTGGCACCAAGATCTCTTTCTACGGCTTCACAGTGAACACCATGAAGAACTCCCTCATCGCCTATGAGGAGTATGGCTTCACCCAGATACCCCAGGGCAAGGTGAGACCCCGAGGGCTTGTTGGGGAGGAGGTGACCCCTAATTGTCCCTTGGGGCTGCGCTTGTGTCCCATCTCTGGAGCCCTCAGTCCTTGTCCTGCTGGTGTGGGCAGTGCACCAAAGGCTCTTCAAGTGCCATGACTGTGTCCCTGCCGCAGGACCTGAGGTACATCTTCATCCCCTCGGACGCCCGTGACTACATCATGCTGAAGTCAGCCATCCAGGACAGCCCAGTCCCTGAGGGCTCAGACAAAGGGGATGAGTGAGTAGCCCCCAAGTTCCCCCCAGCATCTTTGGCAATGCACTGGAGGGAGCAGGACTTGCCTGTCCTCTCCCCACATCTGTCCCTGGTGGGATAAACCCCAAGTAACCCCAGGACTTCCGTGACACGAGTTCTGCCCCTCTCCTCACCCTGCTGCAGGCCACGCAAGTATTTTGGACCAGAGGCATTTGCTGAGAAGTTCAAGCTGCTGCATCCAGATTTCTTACAGTACCTGACAACCAGGTGAGGGTGATGGGACCTGTGGCTGCTGCTCAGTGAGCTCTGCTCAGGGCTGGG